GGGGGGGGGGGAGTAGGTTTAGACTATTTGGTTTGTAACCAAAAATAACTGTAGCATAAAACCCTTAAGGCATCCTGGAGGAATAACAAAATTCATGGTATATTTATACTGTCTATATGTTTTATAACACTATCTAGGATCCTTTGCTTTGCTTTGTCAGTTTTTCTCTAGAACTGCTCATTCTCATAGTAGCATTAGCTTCTCCATACATACTTTTTTTTCAGTCACCAAACCCTTCTCATTTCTTTTCAAGAGGTCTGTGTGGACCAGTAGCCAAAAAGAGTAGACAATGGGTTAGAACTGTTCTATTAGATGTTTCAATGCCTAAATCCCAGTTAAATGCCTAATAGGTGGAATCAGGGGTTTGGGTTGTAGCCGTGTTGGTCTAAGGACATAGGCAGACAACGTTCCTTGGGTGAATTTGATATCTTTTATTAGACCAACCCAAATGGTTGGAGAATAGTTATTAAGCAAGCTTTCAGGTTCAAAAACCCTTCGTCAGCCTGACGAGGGTTGGTCTAATAAAAGATATCAAATTCACCCAAGGAACCTTGTCTGCCTAATAGGTGGAATAGCATCTGATCTAGTTTCTCGGTAGCCTTTTTTACCTTCCCAGACAAACTTCTTTTTAAGTTTGAGAGTTGAGAATACATCTCAATAACTTAGAGATGGTGTAATTGTACTGTTGTTGTAGCTGTGATGGTTCTTGTACATTTTCTGGACCAAGAGATTCATTTCTGATGTCTTTTATTAGACCAACAGAAGGGTTTGGGAGAGTAGTTTGACAAGCCCTTGGGCACACACTACACTTTGCAGGTTCTGCAAGCTCAGTCAGCAGTGTGAGTCCAAGAGCTTGTCAGACTTCCCTCTCAGTTGCATAGTTGGTGCAGTACAAGACATCACAAAAAAAATGTTGCCTCATAACTTAAGGGCATAACATTTCCAGCGACATGACAGTGAGTTCAGCTACTTTTGTTTTGGTTTTTTTTTCTCCAAATTCTTACTTGAAAGAAAATGGACAATGGCTTTGTGATAATTCTGAAAAAAAACAAAGTTACTGGAGAAGTATTGCAGCAGGAGGAGATGCCTCCCGTGGTCAAACTCCTGACAGCATACTGGCTATCCAGAGACAATGTGCCATATGTAAAATGTTGTTTATTAATTTTGCTGCAAAAACTCAATGACAGCAGCATTTCTCACAAAGGCTCCTGCAATTATCAATTGTCTTTGATTATTGTCAGTCATGCACAGCTGAAGCCCTCACTAAGAATAATAAGTCTGGGTCACATTCAAGGCCACTGGAGGGTTTAATATATGGTAAATGCTGTGACACTAATGTCCCTAAGCATTACACTCTGTTAGCTTAGCTGATGAGAATGATGAACCATTAATGCTCCTACTGGCACAACAAAAAAACTTAACAATTATAATTTCAGAGAAATGGTCTTGCTAAACAGCTGTTCTTGGTAATTGGAGATGGGTAGCTTCAGACTTATCTAGCTTATTCCTGTGAGTACCTACTGCACTTGAATGAGCTGTTTCAAAACAAATCAGTTCTTTATCCTTGCCCAGGGTTAGTCAAAAGCCTTGTTCCTAAGAAAGCCAATAAATTAATCAGTTTAAAATTTCTAGGCTGACCCTTTCTAACCCTCATAACTTCAGGATAGTTACAGCAGTCAGTTCACTTTTCTTCATTGTCACACAACTGCCCCAGCTTTGCATTTTCAGAGTAATTGAAATGTTACAATTGCAATAATAAAAATCGCACATAATAATAAGTATTAAACTGCTCACTGTATTGTCAGTAAAGCCATTTCAGATCCCTTGCCAAAGAAAGCAGATGCACAAAACCACTAGATATCGAATCGGAGGATCCCCTTTCCCATTAAACAGATGCTGTCAGCTGAGACATCTCCATTGACTCTAACAGAAGAGCTCCATCAAAGGGAGAAGGAAAACCTCAGAATAAAAATAGCACAGCTTGGATAGCAGACTGTTTTCATGGAAACATAAATAACTATTTTTTGTAGGCATGGCTGATGAAAAGCCCTTTCCTAGTAACATAGCAAGAGGTGGGGGAAAGGAGGGGGACAAGACCCAGATGACAACTTCGGAGGGGTGCCAGAGTTGCAGTTGCATGTAAGCTGTGCTGCTGCTGTCAGAGCAACAGCTGGGGCAGACAGACCACACTGCCGCTGCTGTGGTGGCAGTGGTAGCAGCTGCAGCCAGGGACTGCTTTTGAGTTCCTGGTGTAAGTAAAACTCCTGTGTTTTTTCCCCGCCTCGGAAGCCCTGCTTCTCAGTCATTCAGCAGCACCTCCCCAGCTCTCCTGCAGGTTTTGCCCAGGGTGCAAACTGTTTCCTTTAATTTGCCAAAAACTTCCCATTTTTTGCAAACTGTTTGGGCTGAACTTTTCAGTGCCTATTGTCTGCCTGAGCCTGATTTTTAAGTTCTGATAGAGCAGTTTGAGTCCTTTTTGAAGAGAAAATTACGTTGAAAAAGAAAGGAAAAATTGCATTCCAAATGGTGTTTAAGAAATTATCTTATCCCCAGTCCAAAAACTTGGACGGGCTGGTAGAGAGACTGGGACAAGAAGCTAGGAGAAAAGAGGACACCAAGCCCTTCTTCCATACACAGGAAGAATGGTGCTCACTTAATGAACAACTGTTCAGCATGCTGTTTTCCCTCCATTGTATGTTGAATGGCCCCATGTCATATTTATTGCACAATATTCAGTCCACTGTCTGAAAAGAGAAATATTAATGTCTTCGTAGGCATTTCTGTAGTGTTTATTACTGTGGTATCAGAGTACTTAACAAACACTGCTGAATTCAGAACATCCCCATGTTTCTTTCCCATGTGTACAATGAAGAAGTAGTACAGGAGAATTAAGGTTAAAAACTCTCCTAATTTTTGAATGTCCAGTTGACACCTAGGACCTGACCCAGAATACTTTACAGTATCTAGCATTTGATAGGTTCAAAGCGCAGGTCTCAGCACTTGCTCAGCAAGTAAGAGATCAGCACTTGAAAAAGCAGGCCCCAGAGGCTCAAGTGGGGTACTCCACAATTAGTGACTACTTAGCTCAATAGTTTGATTTTAAGTGACTTGCCCAGCATTACACAGCAGGCTTAATTTCTTGTCCCATATTACACAGCAGCTCCTGAACAGTATTCAGCTGCCTTACTATCTGACCTCTTCCTGCAATCACTGCCACATTCATCATCTACCTTCTTCAGTTAATAAGTCAAAGGTCCTGCACACAATAGCTTCCTTTGGTATACGCTCCTGACTCATCCCGAGAACAGGGAAAATAGTGTGCAGTTATGCAATAAAATAGAAAAGGATAAGGGCTGAGGTGACACGGGCAACCTTAATCTTTGCATTTACTAACTTCTAAGAAACTGACTTTGCAACTTTTACACTTTCTTAATATGTAGTTGTGGGTTGTTCCCATGTAAGAAGAAAATGATATACTGCTTGATATCAAATCCCAGATTTGAGAGAGGTGCTCCTACTTGGTTGAAATAAATGAAACCGTCTCATGTTGGGAAATGGCTTAAAGCAATTGGATCATTTTTCCTCCATTCAGCATGCTGTTTTGTGTGTGTTTGTTTGTTTTAAGATATCTCTCTCTCTCTCTCTCTCTCTCTCTCTCTCTCTATATATATGCGCTAAAGTTATTTAGGTGGAGACAATGAAGAATATGGGTTTTGCATTCTCTGCATGTGAGTGCAGTGGAAAGCTTCCTTTGGTACAGTTTGTTCCAGTGTATATCAGTTTTTATATATTTAGGTGGAGACAAT